ATTGGCAATAGATGTTAGCTCAGGGCCAGTCTTCCTCAGCAAAAAGAGGAGGATTGGCATGGATGTTAGCTCAGGGCTGATCTTCCTCAAAAAAAAAAAAAAAAACTGACTAGTTGTCAACAATTAGTACATTTAAAAAGAAACATATAACAACACCACAACAAAACCAGTCTCCTGCGATGTGGAAGATGTGTTTTCGTTCTGAAAAAATAAAATGCAAAGTTTCAGCCATCTCAGGCACTACCTACTACCCAGCTCCATGAATCCGAGCAGCCCTGGGACCAATGGGACATGGACAAAGAGAATGGACCTAAGATGCTTCAGGTTAGGAACATTTCAGGCTCTTCCTACCTTGGCCTGGCACTGAGCTCACAGGGAAGAATGCCTGAGGGCCACATAGGTCACCTGTCCTCCCTTCTCCAATGCAAGAAAGAATCTTCTTTTCTCCTCCCTCCCAAAATGCCCACGTAGCTTCCCAGTGCACCCACACTCCAAGTGTCATCGTCTGCCTCCAAACACAGAAGTTACATCTTGATTTAGTGGTGCAGGGTTAAATCTCTCACCCATTTTTACTTTTTTTTTTTTTTGGTATTCTACATTCTAAAATGTAGATTTTTAATCCCCCAGGCATCAGATATCTCAAGACTGCACCTGTTTGAATAACACGATTATTGACAAGAACAACCTGCAATCAAATGGCTCCCACGTTTTGAGATGGGAAAAACGCTCCAGGAGAAAACAGAAATCAAGCCCTATTCAGCCAGCACAGTAGAACTTTCTCTGAGCCAAAGTTCTCATGGGAAAGAGGAGTTTCCCTAGTGAAAACAAACAAGACGAAGGTTGGCCCAGCATCTCCTCGCAGTTCTCTCTCAAACTTAAACACAGGCTGTATTCTGAAACCAAGGAAAAACTGAAAAGGGGCTGCCCTCGTGTCCTTAACCCACACACCAGAGGCCATGTGGCCTTGGACGGAGCCCAGTCCACTGCGCACAGAGGCGAGAACGCTGGGTGGGAGGCAATTCCACACTCCCATCTGGGCTATTAGAAGCATACATGCCTTCTCCTCTTCCCGTCACATCCTCAGACATTTCCACAGGCCAACAAAGAGGGGGCGAGGTTTGCAGCAGAAGCCCAGTGTGCGTCCCCACAAGGGACCTTTCAACGCCCACCCTCAAGCACTGCCTGAGGATGAGGTCAGCCTCCATTCTATAGGCCACAAAACAAGCTGACTTTGTGACTAGCAGGCTGGACCTGTGAGGCCCTAAAGATGCAAAAGGATTGGTCTCGCCCACAGGGACCTCATTCCCTACGCAGGAAGCCCAGCCAAACCATTTTTAAATCAGTCCATTCAGGGGACAGGCCTCAAGACATTTATAGGAGCCTCTGGGAGGCGTCGGACTTAGCCCTCCCTCCTTCTGCTCTGACCCCAAATCACACTGCACACACACCACTGCAGGGCTCACCTCCCTAAATACCTCTGTGTTTCCATTAGAACCTCCCACCAAGAATCTATAAGAGCTGCCCATTTGCCATCAGACCGTGGTCAAATGCCTCACCTAGCACTGAAATTCATGCAAGATTTGGTCATCTGACCTACTCACATCTCTCTGTCCTTCAACGCGTGCCTTGTCCTTCTTCTTCTCTCTACATACGCAGCCTAGCAGCTAAGAACACATTCAGCCTGGGTTCAAATCCCAACTCTACCACTTAGAGCTGCAGATCTTGGGCAAGGTACTTAAATGACTCAATGCCTCCGTTTCCTCATCTGCAGAGCAGGGATAATGACGGTACCTACTGCTCACGTGCGTACAGAAGTGGTAAAGTGAGAAGATACAGGTAAAACGCTCAGAATAAAACCCAGCACGTGGGATCACCCAATAAATACTAGCAGTTAAAATACTTATTATTATTAAGCAAGTCACTTCTTCCATGAAGGGGAACATGGTGTTCCCCCAGCAACACCAGTGCACATCTTCTGTTTCTCAAATGTTCTATGAACAGCCAGAAAGCAGAGATACTGACTGGAGTTGTTAGGGACTGTTTCATGGGGCAGGTGACTTGAATGGTAATCAAATGTTAAAATTATTATTATGAAAGTCATATCCTAAAATATAGAGCTGTGGCTCCCAGATTATCTCTGCCTCCAGTAATAATGTCTCCGATGGGCTCACCACTGAGAGATACTATATATTCGTACAGTTTCAGATTTTGTCTCTTGGATCCAAAGCTTAATTCTACTGAGACTGAAAACTTCTGAAGAGCTGGGATAGCAGCAGAGACATCCAGTACCCACTGGGAGTTGCTACCACAGTACCACAGTGGATCCTCAAGCTAACGCTAGCTGAATTTAAAACAGAAAACATTAAGTTACCTGAAAAACAAAGGGAGTAAATGGGAGATTAAGTGGACCTACAGAATAAGAGTCAAAATCTACCCTTTCGGTAATCCTCCTCTCAAACTTCTTGCCACAAACACACAAGATGAAACCATCATAAGAGGAAGAGAATGGGAGGCAATCACCACCGAGACTGAGTGAAACCTGGTAGAGACTAATGAGGCAGCCTCCATTCTTGGTCTCCTTGCCTCCAAACTTCCACAGCACTTCATGCATCCTCTCATACGGCACTTACGAATTTCCACCTTGTTTTATGCCTCAGAAGACTTTGGACCTTGTCTTCTGGATTATAAGCTCCATTTCTCCCAAGTCTGAATGCCCCATAGCTCCTCCGACTATGGTGCCTTACTGAGTTGAGAGCCAATGTTTAAAGCAATCAGAGGAGAATCTAAATTTCACAAGTCTGACAGTAGTTCTACCACATTCCAGACCGTACAACCACAATTATAAAATTGCATTACCCAACAGAAAACTTCTAAGGGCCTATTCTAACTAATGGATGGGAATATATCAAGAACTTTTAAGAAAATGATTGTTTTGAAGCCCTTGAGTGTATATGAAGTCATCTGTAGTTTCAGCCTAAGGTCAGGAGAACAAATACTTCCTGGGGAGTTGCTCCTGGCGATGCCATCTCCACTGTAGGGGGGTCCATCAGAGCGCTGCCCTGGCCTCTCTCCCCCTCCTCACTCCGCAGTGCTCTGCGGTCAGTCTGTAAGGCAAATG